AAGATGGTTAGACTCTAGAGAGCAGAGACTTATTTTTATATGACCTCTGTGTATCCACAGTTCTACAACAAACGGTATTTATAAGGTTTATAATATATGCATGAGAATAACTGCTTTTTGAATAAATGAATAAATAAATACTAAAGTGATATAAAATAATTAATCTATCAAAGAGTGCTTAGTCTCTGTGGGGGTAAAATGCCCTCCATACTAAGGCACTTTGCTGGTTGACCACCTTCACCATCAATTTTCTTTCAGTGTTTTTGGCTGGGGAGTGTAGATGGTATCGTCCCGAGCAGAATGCCTTCACACACAGCTGTCCTCTTAGCATGCGGGCAGGGGACTGCTTCACACACTGTCAGGCAGTGTACCATGCAGATTCTAAAAGTGTCTGCCAGTTCCAGACATGCAGCTAATCTGTACATTTTGAGACCATCATGTAGACTGATTTCATGCTTTCAGTAGAAATATCAACTGAAGACTTTTTATATATCAGGCACTGTGCAAGGCAATGGGGATACAGTAGTGAATAAGAAAGCCTTGGTTTCTGATTTCATGATATGGTTAAATATAAGTCTACTGTCTCAGTATGTATTCTCCTTGCTTCTCAGTTTCTCTGTCCCTGACTTCTTTGGGGTTAATTAAATATTTTGAGTTTTCCATTTGAATTCCTCAGTTGGATTTTTGATTGCACCTTTTATTACTTTTACTTGCTCTCCTGGCATCTAGAGATGATAATATCGTGATATGTCTTCTCCGGTTATTCAGACTAGTTAGAGTTAATATTGTACGATTTTGTGTGAAACATACAACAGTAAAATTCCATTTACCTTCCCCATTCTTTAAGCTATTAATATCTGAAGCCTTATATCTACAAATGTAACAAACTCCACATACTTTTGTTGCTTGTTTTAAACAAAGGAAATGAGAGGAAATGAAGATAATATTTTATATTTATTCACATATTATTAATTTCCAATGTTTTTTATTTCTACTTGTAAATCTAAGTTTCTATGTCATGTTATTACCTTTCAGCTTGAAAAAATTCCTTTTGTATTTCTCGTAATGAAGATCTAGTAGGCATAATTTCAGCTTTAGTTTATCTGAAAATATCTTTATTTCACCTTCATTCTCAAAAAAACTATTTTCACTGAATCTAGAATTCTGTATTGAAAAAGTCCGTATATTTCCTCCAGCACTTATTCCATTCTTTTTTGGTTTCTATTGTTTCTGATGAGAAACCACTTTCATATTATCGTACCTCTATAAGTAATAATATGTCATTTTATTCTGTTAAGATTTTTCTCAATTTTTTCTAGCAGTTTTACTATATTTGATTCATCTTGTATCAATATTGATTGTGTTTCAACAAGTTTCTCATACGATCTGTACATTGATGTTTATAAACAAATTTGGAATATTTCGGCAATTTTTTTCAAAATTTTTTCTTCATCTCATCTGCTTCTCTAGTTATATTCATGTTAGACTACTTGATATTGTCTCAAAAATCATTAAGTATCTGTTTATTTTTAATCTTTTTTCCTCTCTATTATACAGATGAGATGATCTGTTTCTTTACATCTCTATTCTAGCTTATAACTCTTCAATAGCCCCCATCTACCACTAAGCACATCTAAAGAAGGTTTTTATTTTCATTTTAGATATTTTACTTTTCATTTCTAGAATTTACATGTGTTTACTTTCTGTAGTTTAAATTTCACTGCTAAAATTTTTCAACTGTTTACTTATTATGACCATGATTTCTTTAAAGTGATTTTCTGCTAATTCTAACATCTGCGTCATTCTAGGCTCTGTTTCTACTGACTGCTTTTTCTTAATGAAAAAGTTCCTTCACATGTCTGCTAATTTTGATAGCATGATGAACATTGTTATAACACATTATAAGGAGTTTGGATTATGTTATCTTAATGTGTGTTATCTATTCTTCTAGAAGGCATTCCATAGTTGCTAGGAATTCCTTTTGCTCTTGCCAACTTTAGTTCTATTATTTGTTAAGATAGGTCAATTTTAGTCTTATATTGAGTTATAAGGTGTGGCCCTTACTCTAGGAAATAACCCTTACTCCAAAAATATAGTCTTTCTGAACTCTCTAGTGAATACCAGAGGTGATTAGTACAGTTTCTTTCTTTCTTTTCTTATTTTTTCATTTCTTATTATTTTTTTTTTCCTCTCAGCAGTAAATGACTTCTACCTCCATTTAATTTTCAGACCTACAGCAGCTTCTGTCTGCTCAATATTATGGAGTCTGACACTGAGTATACATCACCCAGACCCTGGCCAATGACAGTATTAGTCAGAGTTCTCCGGAGAAACAGAACCAATAAGATATATACAGATATATGGAAAGAGATTTCTTATGAGAGACTGGCTCACACAATTACAGAGCTGAGATGCCCCACAATATGCCATCTGCAAGCTGGAGGCTCAGGAAAGCTAATGGTATATTTCTAGTCCAAACCTGAAGGGCTGAGAACCAGGAGAGCCAATGTCTAGGGCAGGCAGAGATGGTTGTCTCAACTCGAGCAGAGAACAAATTCTCCCTTCCTCTGCATTTCTGTTTTGTTCAAACCCTCAGCTTATTAGATAGTGGTTACCAGTGCTGGTGAAGGTGATATTCTTTATTCAGTCTACCAATTCGATTGCCAATCTCTTCTAGAAACACCCTCACAGACATACCCCAAAATAATGTTTTACCAGCTATCCGGGCATCCATTAGCCTGGTCCAAATGACACATAAAATTAACTATCACAATGACCTACAATTAATCCTCACACAGATCCACCCCTCTGTCACTCATACCAGTTCTCTCATCTCCAACACTCTCTCCTGTGACTTCCAGGCACTTTGAGAGCTGTGCATCAGTCCCATGCCAGTGGCCACCACGAGTCAGAAGGTCAGAGTCTTTGGCTCTCAGTGCACCATCCATGGTGCTATCATGTCAGGCTTGAGCATCATCTGTCTGAGGAGTTCAGCTTATGTGGACCTTACAAGGTGGGATCCTCATGCTTATTGGCCCCTGCAGATGGGGGCTGACATTTGTGGTTTTGGGCATTCAGGTCACACCCTAAGGGTGTTCCCTTATGTGCCTATTGATATTACTGTCATGTCTCCCATGGAATTCATCTTGTAAAGTTTCAAAAGTCCTCAATTCTTTATGCTCTTTACAAATGACATCGAGGTTTGCAGTGACTTGAAAAGAAGAAGCAGATACCCTGCTTTAGGAGCTAAAGCAACACTCTGATGTCCTGAGATGTTAACAAAGGAGATAACACTTTGATGGATGTTTTCTAGAAATCGAATTTATTTTATTTTACAAGTTTGAAAGCTTACTTTGATACTAATCTAGGAAATAAAATCAGGTCTTCTTCTGGTATCGAAAGTGAATTTATTCACTCATTCGTCAGAGATATGCTTATCTCCTCGCATGTGCCAGATGCTAAACAAGCACTTAGGATATCAAGTGAACAAGACATTCACACCAAGTAAGTGTGAAGAGCGGGGATGGGGACTATTTTGTGAGTTCCAACAAAGGCAAGGAAGGTAGCATGGCCATGGCCGATGACTGATGGTCCATTAGGAGTAATAGGGAAGGCAGTAGAAAATGCTTTCAGAATGAGGCAAAGCCAGATCATGCATGGACTGGGATCCACGGTAGGAAGTATGAATTTTTTCAAAGGATAACGTGAAGGTGTTAAAGGGATTTTAAGCAGGAAAATGATCTGTTTTCATTTATGTATCTACTAGTATACTATCACCTCCTGACACACACGCGTGTGCGCGCGTGCACACACACACACACACACACACACCAGAGATCTATGCGTGTGTTTAGCCAACGGATACTAATGTGGGGTGAAGCAGCCCCAAAGAGAAATAGATCAGCAAACTTGTGGTCAGGACTTTTTATAATTTCGAGATGAGAATTGTAAAGTACAAAAGGAGCAAGCGATACAATCACCAGCCCATATCATAAAGACGGTCTAACCCCAATTTAAATTGGTCCTTTAGTTGTTGCTTTATATTCAAAACCTTCTAAACTGTATAAGCACCGCACGCTAACTGATTGCACTACTAGAGCTCCCCAAACCTTCTAAACTGATTTGAAGGAAGCAATATATTTATTACACATACAAATTCAGGCTCTAGGCACTCAGAGTGAGTAAGCTCTTGCTGACTAGGACAGTTGTGGCTCCTGACACCAACAGTTGTTTCAAATGTTTGCGTGTTTGCCCAGTGGGTCACTAGTGGTTTCTCTGAGTCCTCCCCACCAATCTGAAGTCACAGATACTGCTCCGTCTGTTCCTGGGTTAACATTTTGCAAACACACGCTGCTGCTTTGGGTATTACTCTGCTTGAATAATTCTGTTCATTAATGTCGACACCTGAAAAATGTGAAGGACTGTCTCGTCTCTGGGCATGTCAGCTTATGCTAATGGAGCTGCATATCAAGGACATCTATTTTGTCACTTTCAGGGAAGGCAAAGGTACTAACAGGTGATTGTGGTGTGAATGATTTATGCAGAGCCTCTATCTCCTCAGTAATCAAAGATGGGGAGTGATGAGAACAGAAAATTATCATGTGGGCCCTTCATGCTGGTTTGAATATTGAAATTTCAATCCAGTTAACTCCTTCGGTGGTATTTGTTTTATTCCCTAAGAACAAAAACATCTACCACATTTTACTTTTGCTACTCAAAAGATATACTTGCATGATTCTGTTTTCACTTGCTAGTCATTATCTTTAACGCAACATAAGGAAAAGTTTTCAAAAGAAACCCTGAAAAAACTGAGAAAAACAGAGGGGGAGAAAAGGATGTTTTTTTTCTCCCTTCTGGGGTCCCTAACCTACTGCCTGTGATTGCCTGAGCGGATGGCCGAGTCCAGATCCTGTCTGCCGGGCGTCCTCTGATAAACCGCGCCGCCTGCCCCAGTTTCTCTTCGAAGACGGCCGTGACAGAACACATCGCGTATCTTCTAGGTTTCCTCTACGCCCAGAACAGCACCAAGCGCAGCATCAAAGAGCGGCTCAGGAAGCTCTTGCCCTGCTCAGCCGCCAAAACGTCGTCTCCTGCTGTTCAAAGCAAGTTCCCTTTTCTTCCCCCCCAAACTGTTTACTTGTTCTGTTTGTTTAGGTCTGCATGCATTGCAGTTCTCTGCTTCTAAAAAGAATCAATACATTATATCCTACAAAACCAACTCTGTTGATATACTCCTGTTTACCTAAATGTGCAGGAGAACTTTTGTGTGTTGATGAGGCAGGTGCATCCTGTTTGGCAGGTAGACAGGCAGCACCGCATTCGTGACAGGAGTCTAGGCTTCAAAACGTTTGAAGATTTTGTTTGATCTGAGGGGTAAGGACTAAAGTCAGATAACTCTTGGATTCCCGTTGCCTAACTTATTAGCGGAACGGCTGTATCATTTTAAAGTATATTATTACCTTGTAAACTTCTTGACTCGCATACATGCATTTGGTATGGTAATTTAGATACTTCCAAACTTCAGAAATATCATCAAGTTCAAAAAACTACTGTAAAGTAGAAAACATTTACACAAATGTGACTTTCTTTTTTGCTTAATTTCTACCTGTATCAATCAGGGTTCTCTAGAAAAACAGAACCAATATATGCATATACATTTGTATATGTATACATGCTTATACACAGAAACATGCACATACATATACATATGCACATGTACAAACATATACATACATATTCATATTCATATACATATACATCCTTTATATACAAACACAAACAGATATAAAAATATTTATTTTAAGGAATCGGTTCACGCGACTGTGGAGGTTGGCAGGCTGACAGGCTGGAAACTGAGGCAGGATGTGATGTTGCAGTCTTGAGACAGAATTTCTCGTTCTCCAGGAAACCTCAGTTACTGCCTCAGTCTTTTCGGTTGATTGAATGCGGTCCACCCACGTTATCCAGGGGAATCTTCTTTACTGAAAGCCAACTGATTGTAGATTTCAATCCCGTGTGCAAAATATCTTGACAGTAACTGAAATTAGTGTTTGATTGCATAAGTGGGTGCTCTAGCCTAGCCAAGTTGACACATAAGACTAATCATCTTACTCTCCATTTTCTCTTTCTCTCCAATTGTGTGCCATTCTTAAGGAGTAGAAAAAAAGAGGATCTCTAAAGGGAAACCCTTTTTTTTCTTTTTTAAGATGCTATAGATAATTTACAATGACACTTGACAAATACTCTGTGTTCACAAATATTTTTTAAGACATGATTTTTTTTCAAGCAAGTGTTAGAATCAGACAGACGAGGTGGTATTCTTTGCCAGTGAAGAAGCAAAATACTAAGAAGCTAGGTGAGACATTTTAGGTGAGGGCTCTAACTCAGGTCTTTATCTACTCTCTTTATATTTGGCCACACCGTTTTGTAGGAACCGAGGGACTCATATAATGATTCGAAAATGTGAATGCCCTAAAATTTCACGAGTGTCCACAAAAGAAATGGAGAAAATATAGAACGTACCTCAAAGAACCCAATACACCCAGTCAAAAGTCCCAGAATAGAATAGTAATTTATTTCAGTGGCACTGACCAAAGGTAATATATCATCATCATAAGATTTAATTAATTCACTTATTCATTCAACACATATTTATAATATGTCAGTTCCTGTTCCTGCATTGGGAGGGAGAGTAGTAAATAAAACAGTGTTTAAAAAGCCCTGACTTACTAGAACATTCCGTGGAGAGAGGGGATAAGATTACTTTTATTAGTAATAATCCTATATACAAAATAATGAAAATTATGGTTGAGGAATATTGCTTTGATTTTTTTTCCTTTGTTGCACACACATGCACAAACAAAACATACATGTCATTGGCAACCTAGAAGGCCATGATCAAGAACAATGCCAAAACCCTAGTCCTATATGATAATGAAGCTGTAGATATTTTTATTGCTAATTTACAATAGATTAGTGAATGCTGGTTGTTATAACCATTGCTTTTATCCTTTCGAGTTGGAAACAAAATTGCCAATTTTCCAGATATTTACCAGCAATATAGTCGTTTGTACAAAGCAGACCAGTAAAATGTAACTTTCAAATGGATCTCTATATTCACACAGGGAAGAACAAAATTATCATGCCTTCTTAGTGCTCTTCCTGCACCAATATTTGGTAAAGCCCACAAATAAATGTTCATAGAGGATGCATGGCAATGTTTAACCCGAGTGTCAGGAAGAAGTAAGGACATTTCTTGAAAGACAAAAAAGGGAAGATTTGAAAAGATGAACAAAATAACACTAAAATCTGATATTTTTGTAAAATGGGATTTCACAGAACCAGCTGATATTGAACACACGCTAGATGTGGGCTATGATTTGTGGACTCCAAAAGGTCTCCAGGTATAAAGCTTCTGCTCCCAGTAACCACCAGTTTCCCCTTTAGTGACCCATCACAAGAAAACCCCAGCGAGTGGAAGTAAATTATTTGGAAAGGAGATCACATTTGTTCCATTGCTATGTTACTTTACAATGGTGTTTTCACTAGATTCTCCTCCATCTATGATCTGGGCCCTAAGCAGTTGGACACAGAACTGAAAAGATGATATGAGAATATGAGGCAAAATGCAGGTGGTTAGAGACACATACCACAGTGGCAGAGGACCCTAGGCCACCAGGAAGAAAAGCAGGGACACCACATGTCTCCATGCTGGACCTCACCCTGTGGTGAGGTGAGACTCGACTGGGCTAATTCAATGACCTGCAACGTGGCTGAGGAAATATCCTCCACCAGATCCCATGCAGCTTCAAGGGAATAAAGGGCTGATACTCATTCTAAAAAATTTTTTCTAGGAAAGCAGATAAGGAAGGGTTTTTCACTTTTCTTGGCAGAAATGTGAGATTTATCAATGTTATGCAAATAACAAAAGAAAAAATATAGTTTCTCCAGAAAAGCCTACACTCCTGCTGAGTTAAGGAGCACTTATATTCCCAAAATTAGAGAAGCTGTGAGTCGGAAGGGAGCATAGGAGGACATGGAGCCTCACCTCCTGCTTAGTTCCCAGACAGATCCTGTCATCACCAGGGGACAGCACGGCTTCTTCAGGAAGCCATCCATTTGGTAACAGCCTGCTTTAAGGAGGCTTCTTCCTTCCAGTGACCCCAAATCAGCTTTCCTTTGAACTTCCAACCACATCGGTCCCACTTGAGAGTCATGTGCAATGTCTGCCCCTTCTTCCACAGGACAGCCTTTCTCCTCCTCCTCCTCCTCCTCCTTGGGTGTTGGGAAGGTGAATGGTTTGTTTGTGAAAGTTACGTCCATGGAAGGAAATTTGGAAAGTGTAAAAATGGATAGGAAATCACTCACACACACACACACACACACACACTCATACCACACAAAACATTCATAATCCTACTATACCCCCTAACCTTGAAGTAACCATAAATAAGCAGTAATATCGTTTTTCATGGCTGCATGTGCATTAATGAAATCTCATCTATACCAAATTTTTATCTTTTTTTTACATTGCACACTTTCATCAATATTAACTTTGTTATTAAAACTCTGTAAAAGTCATTTTTAATGGTAAGCATAATATTACATTGCATATTTACCATATATTATTTTTTGACAAGATCCTGTGGCTTTTGGATATCTAGATTTTTCCCCCTTTTTACCTTTTACCTCATAACATAAATAGCACTGAGATAAACATATCTGTGCATATATCCAAGTACAAATATCTATATACATATACCTATGTATGTCTTTTAGATTATTCTCCCTCAAGTTTGGAATTTTTATATGAAAGAATTAAATTATGTGAATGCAAGCTTCCCAATGTATATTGGAAAACTGTTTTTTGAGTCAGCTTCTCAAATATTTAAAGACATCATACATTTCACCTCCTGAGCTTTTTGTTACATAGACTTAATATTCTCAATATTTGGAAATTATATGCATTTTATAGTCATCGGTTAAATGCAGGCTTAAACATTAGTTCTGCTGTTCGTACCTCAAATGAAAGCATTAAAGGAAGTAGCACATTACAAAGATTTTCTGCATGAAAAACCAATGACATTCTTAAATTTTTGAAAATCAAATGTATTGCTCATCTTTAACCAACAGCAAAAATTATAAGCCCAAACTCCTTATTTTAAACCACACATTTGACTCTGATGTTTGAGAAGGCTGTCAGACAAATATCAGAGTCCGACTGCCTTGGAAAGTTCTGGGGAACAACAAACACAATTTTGAAAGGAGATGACAGATCTGTGCAATGGCCTCCAATGGAGCAGCCTGGCTGGTGGCTGAGCAGGGGTGATGGATGTCATCTAGTGAGAATTAATGTCTTTCTCCCGACATTAGTAACTCCCCAACAAGAATGAGAAAAGAGGTAGTGACTAATGCTGGCAATACCTGGGCCATAAGTTAAGGATTAGTTTGTGCAAAACTCGGGCCCCATCCCGTGTAGCCAATTTCCCACTACTCTTAGAACACCCGTGCCAGGATGCAGATGAGCGCACCAGCCAGATGGAGTGTCCTGATCTCCACCGCTCAGCCCCACTCCCCGCGTTTCTTACCTCATTCATTGGTACCACTAACTGTGCAGATGCTGAAGTCAGAACCATCTTCCCTTCGTTTTATGCTCTCCCACCCACCATCTTATTGGGCACTAAGCTCTGGTCAATTTTCTCTGAAATAGCTTTTAAATTAACTTCTTTTCATCTCTTGTTGTAGGGCTCTTGCTCAGACCCTCATTATCATTTCCGAAAACTGCCAAAAGAGTAGAATGGAGGGAGCGTGGGCTTCATTGTCATCTGGCATGCATCTGAATTCTTGCTATTGTGCCCCTTGCTAAACAAAATGCTTGGGGTTATCCAGATGAATTCTCTGGCCCCTTAGTTTCCTTATTTTGTCATTCATTGCACAATACTTTTTTGAGAGACCGTGTGTGGCAAGCCCGATTCTAGGCACTGGCTTTGGAACAGAGAGTAGGACATATCACTTCACTTCCTTCATGGAGCTTTTATGAAAAGAAAGATGACAAACATGAAAATAAAGATAGTCTTAGGAATTGATGACTGTTATAAAGGAA